ACACACACACACACACACACACACACACACACACACACACACACACACACACACACACACACACACACCCTTCAGATATCGCTCATCTGTGGCTCAAAGTCCCTGTGGTGGTAAATCAGATCAGGGAGTCAGGGAATAAGAGGTGGACTTAGAGGGAGATGAGGCGCGGGGAGGAGCAGGAGGAAGAGGAGGAGGCAGAGAGAGAGAGGGATGCTGAGCGAGAGAGAAGGGGCACAGAGGGAGAGTAAAAGAAGATTATGAGGGAGGATGGCAGAAGACTGGATGCTGGCTGACGAGAGAGAAAAAGGAAGTGGAGGGAGATGCTGTTAGATGGAAAAGGCGGGCGGTCATGTAATGAGCATGTGAATGCTGTTTTRCAGTTTTTTTTTCCCAAACTTTGTTGGCAGTCAAACTATTTTTGCATACTTTGTTGTATTTCATCCATTCATATATCAAAATGTTCAACTCATTCAGGAGACGGGTGCTCTGATTTTTTTGATAACTTTTATGCTTTTCAAAATATTTACCTTTATGCATATTTTCCCCCACAAACATACAGTAAGATCTCATCAATGTCTAGAATTTGCTTTAGCTACATTCTCTATTATTTCTTCTTTGGCTATTTTTAGTTAGCCTTTTGTTACTTTAAACTTTTATTTAGCCTTTTGCCACTGTTAGCTTTTAACTATCGTTCTACTACTTTTAGCTTTCAGTTAGCATTTTGCTTCTTGTAGCTTTTACCTAACCTTTTGGTGCTTTTAGATAGGGTTTGGCTACTTTTAGATTTTTGATAGCCTTTTGCTTTTACATTTTAGTAAGTCTTATGTTACTTTTAAATAGGTTTATGTTTCTAATAAATTTTATCTAGCTTTCTGCTGCTTTAAGCTACTGTACTTTTGCTACTTTTAGCTTTAAGCCAGTAGTCTTCTTTTTTTAGCTTCTAGGTCACATTTTGCAAATTTAAGCTATCTTTTGTTTACGTTTACATTCTAGCTTCTTTGCTACTTTTAATTTTGTTACCTTGTGTTTTGCTACATTAGTTTAGTTTACATTAGTGTTTAGCTTCTATCTAGTCGATTGCATATTTAAGCCAGCTTTTTGATACTTTTTGCTTACTAGCCCTTAGGTTTCATTAGCTTATCGTTTGCTACATGTGGTTTTGAGCTAGCCTTCTATTTCTTATATTTTAGGCAACGTTCTGCGCTTTTTATTTCGTTTTGTAGATTTAACAATCTAGTTTTAGCTTCTTCAGCAAATTCCAGTAAAGTCATTCAGAAATCTGTATTCAATGCATTTAAAAAAAAACACATTTTCTCTAATCGCCTTGATTTCTGTGCGTGTTTGGCTGTGTGTTAGCAAAATATCTCATGAAGCAGAGAACAGATTTAAATGATGTATATCTACTACAACTGACTTCTGGAGTCAACTCTGATGCCACCACAATGAGCTGACCTTAGTGAATCAGCAAACCAACAGGTTATGTTTGAGTCCTTAGAACAGCATATCTGCTTAATTATTGAGGTAAGTAAAAATAAAAGGTGCAACAAATAATAACAACTTAAAAGTTGTAATCTAAACTAAATTAAAGGTCTAGCATTGCTTAAAGGAGAGGAAAGATGGGACAGAGTTGTAGCTGCTCACAGAGAGTAAGTGTTGTGAATGATCTCAGCTACTGTTTGTTTTTCTTTCAGCTGCTCCCTTTCTACAGGGGTTCAGCAAAGAGAACATGCTTGATTTGACAATTGTTTTGCTTTGAATGTAAATTTCTGACAACCTGGGCTCGAACCTGCAACTCACAGCTACCACATCAGCTTTTAGCTCATTGTCTATAAAAACAACTGAAATGTTGTCAGTTTTATTTCTTCTAGGTCAGCCATTATGAATGTGATTGGTTCAAAAAGTGAATCACTTATAGATTTACATGTAATGATTATTTCCTCAAGATTTTGTTGAAATTTGTTCAGCTGTAGGCTACATGAGATATTTTGCTAACAGAGAGACTACATTTAGTCCAGAAAGATAATTGCAAAAGTTTAAAATGTTTCAAAGCTCAGAATATGTGTTGTGGATCAGTCTCAACTACCTCCACACCAAATTTCAGGTCAATATCTGTAAAACTGACTGAATTATGGCAATTTGTATGCCTTTTTAGATCAGCTGTCTGTGGCGGCCATCTTGAATCAGGTCAACACAAACAGTTACATGGTTGTAGATGTTTATCTATTTATTATTTTGTGCAAGTTTCATTAAAACTCGTTCAGTGGTTGATTAGATATTTTGCTAATTGACAGACACGCAAGCACATGCAAAAACATTGTCCGCCTTCGCCTTTCCAGGGAGTGGGCTATAATTAACTCCCATCTGAGGGTGATGACCTTCACATTTTGTACAGGGGGACCCCTGTAAAAACTCAAAAGGACCCCCCGCGGTACGTGTCCTGGTGCCCCAACTTGCCGCGCACTGATCCGTGTAAATACACACAGAACCACTCACGGCCAGATCCACGCTGACATCCGAGCCGTCCAGCAGCAGGACCCGGCAGGTGATGGTGGTTCTCGCCGAGCCAGCGGCCGGGATGTGGACCGACGCTCCTCCGGAGACCACCGCCGGCGCGTGGACGACCTGCTGCTGGTGGGGCAGGAGCAGGGGGTTCCCGCTCACCCCTCCTCCTCCTCCTCCTCCTATTCCTGGACCGTCCTGCTCATCCCTCTCTCCCGTCTGGAAGCGGCTCCGACGGCTGAACGTCCGACGCAGAAACCCCATCATCTTCCTGATCCAGAAGGCGACGATGTGTCCGTCAGAACCGCAGTCTGAGTCCTCCTCCTCGTTGTCGTTCCTCCCCGGGGAGAGGAGTCACTCAACGGGCACGGAGGAGACTTCAGGGCTGCCGGTCAGTCTTCGTGATGGAGCAGCAGGGGACTCCAGCCGCATACTAATAAAACTGACCCACCGAAGCTCCAACCAGTTGATTTCCAGTCATTCGGGTCGGTGTGAACGTCCGGACTCTGTCAGTGAACCACCTCCCCCTGTCCTCTCCCAGAACACCTGCCTCCTCCTCCTGCTTCTCTCGCTGTTGCGCACCGACTCAAAAATCCCGGAGAAATCTCGTCCGGACGCTCCGCAGCGGGAACCCAGGGAGAGAGAGAGAGAGAAATAGAGACAGGGACGGGGCAGAAGTCTACACCTTTGGACCGGAACCCGGCCGGCTGTTTTTCCGTTTTTTTTTCCCGCTGGAGAACCGAAACTACCAGCCTCACCTCTCAGGTAAAAGTCAACCAGCGAAACTGGACAAACAGCACAAACTGCGCATGCGTAAAAACACGAGCGCTTGAACAAACTTCTGTTGCTCCGCGGCTGACCGACCCGAGAGGACCTGAGAAACAGCGCCCCCTGTCGGTCTACGCCCGCCTGCAAACTGGGCCGGAACTGGAGGGGTTTCCAAGAGTTTAATGATAAAGATTAATGACCTCTTTGGAAATACATCACTTATTATTAAACTTAAACAGCGCAAGAGGTCAGATTAGAGACAACGTAATCCAACATATTTTAAACGGATGAAATTAACCGGAAGTAAAAATTCCTAACATAAAATTATTTTCTAAATTCACTTTTTTTAATCAAATTATTGGGTCAGTAAGAGTTTTATAATTTTAAGACTGAGATTCAAAATCAGTAGCATTTATTTTATATATTTATTTAAATTTCAGCTGCATTTATTAATTTATGTACACAAATAACTAAAATAGAAACAAAACTCCAAAACAAAAATAAAATCCAAAAATTTGATGAACACAAGTTACACACTAAACACTTATAAGGGTAAAATCAAGCTAAAACCACTAAAAAAAAAACAACAGTATTTTGTTTTATTTAGTTCAAGCCATTGTGATGGACTTGATTTGTTAAAACACGCATCCTAAATTTATCAAGTTTTATTTGTTGAAACTTTGTATTTGTTTTCTTTTTGATACCTGTAATTTATTTTTAATATATACTCAGAGACCACATAACTGAACTTTCTGATTTGTTTTTCATTTGATAAAACAAGACTTGTTTTGCCTAAATTGCAGGAGACACAACAGGGAAGTCAAGACATGTTAACTGCATTTAAAAAAACAAATACATATATAGGAATTCATCTGATCATTTTATGTTTCAAAAATACAAAATCTCTTCCTGGCACAGCATTTATCACCCAGTCTAGAGAATGATTTTCTTCAAGTATGTTGCAGAAATATTTAGCTGACTCATTCTTTTAGTCAGTCTTCTAAAAATATGTTGTTTAAAACATGAACACACATTTCTTACAAACACCAAATTGTGAATAATAACTTGTAAATAATGAAGTTTTTATTAGCAGTTATTTAGTCATATCCACATCGCATGGGCTGATTTGTAAATTGTCAACTTTAGCAACTCTCTGCTGTGTAAATAAGTAAACTACACTTTTATTAGGAGCACTTTCAAAGAAAAAGAAAAACTAGTGACTTTCTATGAGACGTCCTCTCCTTTATGGAGCCATCAAAGAAAACAACAAAAACACAACTGTTACAAATCAATGATTTTATTTCATGTGAATAATTTAAAAGTGATGAAGAGTGAATTTGGTGCTCTGCACCTCTTTAAACTACAGAATCTGCCGCTGAGATCTAAAAGAAATCAGCTTCTGACGCTTGTCTCAGAATACGAGAGATAAACTGTAGATTAGGACCGTCTCGCTCAGCCTCTGATGGATTCAGACCGGTCCGGGGGAAGCTTCAGTCTAAGGCACATGTAGCTTAACAAGCAGAGGCACCACTCCTGAGAGACCTCTTATATGGAAATTAGCAGCTCACGTCAGTCTTACATCAGTCTCTATGGAGACCACATTCCCTATAAGCTTAATGCACTTTAAGTAAAAACTAAGGTCAACTAGGTGTAATATTCTGTCGGAGCTACGTGGAGCGCACAGAGCTGTGCTCTGCAGCTTTGTTTTTTATTATTTCATTATCCAGTCCCTGTTCCAGTACCAGAAGCTCCAGAGTTGAACCTGTCCCACCCAAATGAAGCAGAGGCAGGGAAGAAGTGCGTTCGGTCTCCTTCTCCCTTTGACGATTTTGGCTTACGGTGTTGTAGGTTTTTTCTCCTGTTTCTCTTTGTAGACTCGCAGAATGGCTTCGCACACAAACTGGAACTGACACTGGAAGACGTGAAGCAAAAAAAACAAACAGATTATTAGTTACTGGAAAACAAGGATTTTTTTGTGGAGGTTATGTTGATTTCATTTCAAATCAATATCCCTCATGACTGAGACATCTCTAAAATATCTATTAATAACTTGTTCCTACATTGTGATGAGTGTGAAAATACTCAGAAGCACTAAAGGGTATTAATAATTGAAGAGGTAGTTCAGATCTTTTGAAGTAGGGAAAGGTTATGAACAATCAATATCTCACCTGTTGTAGGTAGCTCTTTGAACAAACTTCTGTTTGGAGAAAAGAGCAGAAAAAAAATCTATTTCTCCACACAGGTAAGATATTAATTTATTGCTACATTTCCACAGAACCCCGTTTCAAACGATCTGATCTATTGTTTAAAGATAGAAAAATGTTGTATTATTAGTTTTTAAAACATTTGACTCGTCACACTTAAGGCAAAGACAATGGCAGAGAGTTACGCTACCATTCACGCCAGAGTTTTAGATCATCTTATACTAAGAAATGACAGAATGAAGTAGAGCTGGTTGGTTTCTGATCTACCCAGGTTCATATTTTGAGTCCTCACACTGAGTCAAGTCCCACAAACCTGGGGTCTAAACTGACCCGTATCCTTAATGTCCTCTGAGAGACTACAGATTTAAAAAAAAAAAAAAATATCAAGGAATTACCAGAAATGCTTCAGAATCACATTGGTTGGGTCCCTGGTTTGGGTTAACAGTAGGAATGTGTATTGGCAAGAATTTGGTGATATGATACATATCAGGACACAGGGGTCATGATACGATAGCCTTTTTTTTCTTCAAAAATTCTAATAAAAAACTAATTGTTTTGTGTATTTTACGTTTCATAATTCTTATTTCATTCATATTTCATGTTTTCAATAGTTAGGCCAAATGTGTCATTAAATTGTTTGCGTCAGCTTTTAAATTTATAATATTAATTTATTATAAAAATATGGTCACCCAACACACTAACAATAGCTCACATCTTATATATTATCGATCTGTTAGTGCTTGGAGTGCATTCTGAAAGACTCTCAGCTACTACCACACCAAGTTTTAGCTCAGCATCTGTAAAATTGACTGAGTTGTAGGTATTTTTGTGTAAGCTGTGATGGCCATCTTTAATGGGTTGAATCCAAACTTTAATGGGTTTTAAATGTACATCAAATGGTTACTTTTTGAGAGTTTCATTCAAATCCATTCAGGGGTTTATGAATTATTTTGCTAACAGACACACGGGGTTGACTCCAACAGTTAATTCTACAGTTTAGGCCAGGTTGTGAATGACTCTCAGCAACTAATTTGATCACAATATCTGTAAAACTGAGTGAATAACCCATTTTTGTGTTGTAAAAAATGTGAAGATATATTAGTTTGTGCAAAGTCACATGACAAAACAACAAATCAATGTCAGCAGAGACGTGACGTTTTCAAGGTTAAAACTGGACCAAAACAACTGACGGCCTCTGACCGAGAGCCGCCCGATGAAACGTTTGGTAAAACCCGTTTGTCATGATCCATTTGTGACCCATTTTCAAAGATTTACGTAACCAGAAGGAAGTGGTTGATACAGGGCAGTGTGCCAAGATGGAACTGGACGATGAGATTTTCACAGGATAAAAAAAAAAAGATTTATCCTTAATCTAAAACAGTATGTCCTCTGACTGTGCATGTTTTTATTACTAATACACAAACGTCTAGCCCTGAGGAAGCGTTCCATCAGCACATCAGAAGCCACAGAGGCCCTTTCAAAATAAGGGCTATAGTGGCAGCAGCAATAAAACAGGCTGCCATTTTCCCACCCTGAGTCACATTTTACCGTCCTCTCGCCAAGGCGGCACAGAGCATGACTTCCAGCCTTGAATCTTCGACTTGAGCTGCTCATCTTCAGCCTTCACTCAGTTCAAGTGTGACTTAATGAGTCAGAGACGAAGATGGTTTGACTTTAATTTAAAAAAAATGGCATATATGCATTGGCATCAGAAAAATGCAATTTTCAGTCTTGCATATTCTTGTGGTTAGATTAAACTTTTAAAACCAAACCACAAAAACGTATACTGTAGCTCAAATAAAAAGAAAATTGAAAAACAGCACCATCTGAGCAGAAGAAATGTAAAAATATGAGGAAACGTTTCATCTTTACTCGAACTTTCCTGTTACACGGAGCTTTAAACCAACTCAAACGTTAAATATTTCTATAAAAAATGCTGTTTCCATTCACAACAACTCGCCCATTTTATACTAAAATTAGCACATTTTTAGATTTAGATGAGTTCACGCCATGTAATAATTGAAGATTTCATTAAAAGAGAAGACAGCTCGGGGTGATCATAACACCATAATGAATTTAACGAGGCGAAGACAAGAAACTTCTGTTTTTGTTCCTCAGTACCGTGGTCTGAACCATCATGGCTCGCTGTTCTCTCAGTGTTTTCACAATGTCCAGTGGGAACACCGGTCGACCCTGGTCCATCAGGTTCAGTGCTGTCTCCATGGTGATTAAAACACCTGTACGTCCGATCCCGGCACTGAAATTAGGATCGCAAAACAAACAAATGAACAGAACGGTGAGCTCATTTCACAGGAGATGGGCAGAGAGTTGTCTGGATTCAATGAAGACCCTCATGTTACCTGCAATGCACCATTAGCGCCTCATCACCTTTCCTCCTCTCCCTCACTGAGCTGACGAAGAGCAGGAAGTCGGACGGGTCGTCAGGTACGCCGTGGTCCGGCCACGCCACGTACTGCAGGTGTGTGACGGCGCGCTCCTCGCCCAGCTGAAGTACGCACACACAAAAAAAAGGTGGACAATGCAAGATTACATAATCAGTACTTAATGTCATAAATGCGTAACCTTTGGAAAATATAATCCACAGGTGGAGCACCACAGGCTGGTGATGTGCGGAACAGAAAAATATCAGAGATGAAAACAGGTGGAAAGGAGAGATGACAGAGCAGCGGAAAAAAACAAGAAAAACGCTGACTCTGGAGTTTATAAGTGGGCCTGTGACTCCACACAGGGATTAATTCTTCCCGCCAGAGGAGCAGATGGACCCACACAGCAGTACCTGTACATGCGCGTGTGCATTCAAATTTCACGTCTCCCTGAGCATGACTCTGTTTATTTACCTGTTCATCATGGAGGCCGTCATGGAAGGCAACACCTTTAATATGATCATCCACCGTGGTGCAAGTCAACAGAAAACAACCAGCCTATGAAGAGGCTTTTACACACAGATGGGTGCAAAAATGATCAAAACACACTAATGCACATCCCCATCCACACACACGTGCAGACAAAAACACCCACACGGAAGTGACTGAATGCTGGCAGCAGTGAGTTTGCCAGGAGTGGTTGCTGCCTGCGGTGAGCTTTGTTACGTGACATATGGCATTAACGCGCTACATGCCACTGCCACATATAAAGACAAAAACAGCTCTGTGTTTGACTGAGCTCGTATTTCACATGGACATGAAAGCAGGTGGCAGGAATTTACTGTTAGGGCTGGAAATGATGAGTGTTTTATTGATTTTTTTTTGTCAGAACGTCTCAAAAGAAAGAAAAAACAGCCCTGCACTGCAGCTGCTATTTGTGGCTATTTAATGAATTATGTGTGAACTAGTGCCCAGTTAATATGAGCTATAAACTGGTGGAAAAAAGACATTGTCCATCATAATCTGTCCAAATGATTTCAGGTCTACATTCAAGTAAGGAATCAAGATTTTGCACCAGTCTAATACTCAAAGGGAGACGTGTGCCTCAAACTGTGCTGCCAACTAAAGATGAAAATCTTCAGGCACCTCATGATTCGATTATGATTTACATGGCTGTGATGTGACTATAAAATGATTTTAGATATATAGTGGCAGGCACAGTTCTGCTAATCGCTAATAGCATAAGTAGCTTCTCATTTAGTGGAATAACTTTATTGCTAAATTTGGAAACCTTTAGTGGACTAATTGGCTTCCTCTCAGTTCAGTTCTGCTAATTTTAAGTTCACCAAAAATATTCACAGGTGAAAATCTTCTATTTTTATTCCATTTATCCAAAATTAAAGGGGACCTATTATGGAAAATTCACTTTTTAAAGTTTTTTTTACTCAACTTCGGGTATGTACTTCTTAAAAAAACAGTCCTAGGACCAAAAAAATGCACCCGGGGCATATTTACTGTAAGTAAATGTATTTTTAATGTATATTAACGACAAGTTTTATACTTCCTTCATTTTGTGATGTCACAAGTCGTACGACAACCCACCAAAACCTGCGTTCAGCCCCCTACCTAGCAACCCCCGGGTAAGACTCCTCCTCTGTATAAAAAGCTGTCACAGTGTTGTTGTGCAATGCACAGCTCATTTCACAACAGGTCTCCAATGGGGCAATGGGTAGAGTGTTGGATCAGAGAGTGGGAGACCAGGGTTTGAAACCGGCATGGACATAATTTAATTATTTATTTTTCGTTCGTTATGAACACGTTTTCTCATGTACCTCTATTGTGTAGCTTATTAAAGCCTTGTTAAAGCCTATTTGTTCGAGTTTCTGAGGTATTTCGACCGCTGCTGCTCCCTGCTCTGGTAACAGCATGCAGAGTGAGCGCAGAGCAGAGGAGGAAGAGATAAAAAAAAAACAAAGAAGCTGCGACCGACTCTGCCTCTGGGTCTCACAGGGTCTCATATGGTTGTACAACGGAGCTTCTGCTATTATTAGCCATGCTAACGTAAATGCTGGCTTTGGAGGGCGGAGTTAATGTCAGTAGATTTTTGGAGGGCGTTACCAACAGAGCTCATTAACATAAACAGCTCTTCTGAACGGAAGTCAGAGCAGGCAGAACTAGAAAATGGGAAATTTTATTATCTGAGAATTATTTTGTGCATTAAATTGCATGAACATGGTCTGGAGCGTCGAACGCTCAAATGATTCAAATCGTTCAAATCGCACTGCTCTAATCGCGCTTGGCGCGCCGCAGCACTTCCCGACACTGCTTGAAGCGCGTCCCCCATAGACTTTTGCATCTAAACCTGATGCTCCTGATGCTCAAAGGTGTGAACGCACCATAAGTGTATTTAATTTAGTTATAATGTAAATACAATAACAATTAAACCAAGATATAGAATAATTATCATTCTAAACAAAGATTTAGAATAATTATCATTTTGATCTGTACACTGGTGTGACTGGGCCTCGAGCCACTTTATGTTCAACAAATTGGGCCCCGAGGTCAAAAAGGTTAAGAACCCCTGATCTAGAGGGGTGTCAGGGCATTTAATATCGCCCTGTTCTGTTTTATGGCACCGTCTATCAGCTGGCATTGTCTCGGGACATCATGCTAAATCAGTCCACTGATTTTTCTGTTTATTAATTTTTTTTACTCTGCATACATTTTGTAAGCTACCTAAGTGGCCAATGGGCTGACCCATGGGCATATGTCATCTCAAACTGAACATTTCATGTACCTGTTAGATTACATATGACCCTATGTACAACTCCTGTAGTTTGGCCTTCTAGATCTTTGGCCTTGTTTAAACCAGCTTTCCACACTCTCCAGACCAAGCAGCAAATATGTGTCTTCTGCACAGAACATACACTCACCGGCCACTTTATTAGGTACACC